TCGGATCTCCTTGAAAACAAACATTTTTTATTAATTCCTTTTATAGCTCTTTGCTTTACTCATTAAGGGGTTAGACAGTTTTTACGGATCTTAAAATGGAGTTGTGGTCGATTCTAAAATTGAGTTTAAGGTTGACGTTTAAATCTGATTTTCCTACTGAACTTGACATTTTAGTTTCGGCAGTCTGGTTGCTTTAGATTATTACTAATTGTTTCTAAATCATAGTCAATATATGAATCAGTGTTCTAAATCGTAGTAGATAGAAAAGAGGCTTTTATCATGAAAACAACACAATATATGAATTTCTCACTTTTTTCTGTCTATGAAACCAGGAACTTCAATAACTTCGGGCATGGAATTTTGAAAAGTATGAAAAAAAATGACCTTTGCATAAAACAGGATGCCCCGAAGGTACGAAGCCAATCCCACTAATATATGGTCATCAAATACCATATTCTGTAACATACAAAAGAGCACACATTGAGTTGCCATGTCAACTGTGTCTGAACCTACCTGTTCGTTTTGTGATCACTAACAAAAGTATTTATAAACTTCTCATAATTAATATTTAATCAAATTTAAGAAAAAAAAATTATAAACAGGCGCCATAAAAGCCACCATTGCCCGATTCAAGGGAAACTGAATCGATGAGAACTAATAATGCAACGAAAGTAATCGATAACGCATCAAAGAAATTCATTTTAACTCAAGTTATTTTATAGAAAAACAGAAGCCAAAAAAAAAAAGAAAGAGAAAAAGAAAACCTTGAGTGGGTGGAAACCGGCTTTCAAATTGAGAGCAGCACGGGTGGGAAGAACAACGCTCTCCGATTCTTTCTTCCTAACAATCAGTCAATCGATATTAACATTATATTTGTCGACTAATTTGACCGATTTGGATTATCCAAAAGATAAAAAAATCAATATAGAGATAGAGGAACAATATGTATTTTTGGTGAGAAAATATTTATTTTGGGGGGAGAAAATAACAAAGAAAACTGAGTTCGTGCGTGATTGTGTGAGTGATAATGTGGGGCTATATCAAAATACCCATCTGATATATAGAGTAGTAGAAGAAACCGATTCATAATAGTATTAGGGTTTAGTATGTTTAACCCGACGATGAGATAAGGTTGCACTCAAATTTGAATATTAAGTATTATCGAAAATCGTCTACAAGTAATCTGTTAGTTTAATGAAGCGTATCTTATCGTTGAAGGGGAGATAGTTAAAGATAATTCCCTTGAAAATAGACTTTGTTTTTCTCTTTTACTTTTTGAAATTAAAATTTAGAAAGTAATAAACCGTAAATGGTTTTAACGAAAGCCATTGTTCTTCTGTGTTCTTTCTTCTCCCAAAGAGATTGGAACTTGGGTTTGGTTGTTCACAGCGGCCAGGCACTTCAAGTGTCATTGGTCGCGGAATTGCGGTATCTATCATCCCGTTTTTTTTTTCGTCGTCAGAATCATCGAAAGCGCTTCGCCGTATTTTTATTTTTTATATTAATAATAGATGATAAAAGATAGTATATAATGTTTAATAATTATCAAGCGTGAGACATTAAATTACATCCTAATTAACAATGCGTGTGTTTTAAATCCTTTCTCCAATTTACCAAGTACTCCTCTGTCTCAAAATTATTGTCCAGTTTGATATTTCACTTTTAGTATAATTTGAACTAGAAATGAAAATCCAAATTGGACAATAAATATGGCACGGAGGGAGTATATATTATCGGCAAGTACTGAATTGGATCATTTTATTATTAGGATGGTCTTCTAACAACGGAAATCATAGAAGATTTTATTCCTCAAGCAATGGCAGCCAACGTCCATTTCCAATGCAAACAAACAATATATTAAAAATGAATCACAAGGGATGACAATTAATCATTATAAAATTATACCACAACGAATTTTAAATGAATGCCTCAATCCTCAAAATCAACTGGAAAAAAAATTATACTTATCAGTTCGTTGTCAAAAGCTAAAGTTTATCTTCCGTAAAAGGAAAAAATTTCCCAAATTCGATAGGCAAAATCTGCATATATCTACAAATCCTTCTGCTTATAAAGTTACTTGGCTGCACTATTGAGAAATGGGTAAATAATAAGCCATTTAATTTAGATAAAGTTAGGATAGGAGCTGGAGCTGTAGGCTGAAAGCATTTAAGTTATGTCAAACATAGAATTTCTTCTTTTTTTTTTGTGCAAAAAAATAGAATTTCTTCTTTTACATAACAACCCAATAATGTCATAGATCCGCAACGCCTTTTTATCACGAATAGGAAATACTCTCTCCAGTCCTTATTATTTCTTCTGTCCCAAAATTATTGTGCAATTTGATATTTGACTTTTAGTACAATTTGAACTAAAAATAAAAATTCAAACTAGAAAATAATTTCTGGACGGATACCCATTTTGCTTTGTCATAAGTTTTACCTAAAAAAACCTTAAAAAATATATCGTAATAATTAAGAGAACACAATAAATATCAAAATTTATTTTAAAATTTTTTTAATTAAAAAATATATATTAAGTAAAACTAATGACAAATCAAAATATTTTATAATTAGCACCAGAGGAGTACAAAGATGACGCATACTCCCAAATCAGTCTGTCCTTGATGAGGTGATTACGCTGGGCAAACTTATCATACAAAGAACCTCTCTGAGTCAGTGCCGATAATGACACATCATACATTGCTACCAAAATGACCAAAGGTGTATCAACATTATAAGATGAATTTCAAAACGCTCTTTAATCTATGGTTCTCATCAGTTGGTTGGCTAACAAAACCCTAACTCTACGTTATCAATTCGTTTCCAGTTTGAATAAAATCTACGGTGATAAGGTAGATTACAATAGATCGGTCATCACAACTCTGAGCCACCCTCCAAATCTTACCACAAAATCTGTTAAGATCTGATGTAGGAATCCATAGTCAACAGTAACTTAGAATCCCATTTTTCTTCTCCATTTCAAATTAGGAAATGTAGAAATTGCCACATAGGATATATGAGTTTGGTTAACCTCTAGTCTTTGCTTTAGGTATTATATATATAGATTGTGAAAAAGTTATTTAATTGTCAGCATACTGTAAACGTCTTTATATATTAAACAGTAGAATGAAAATTAGCAGTTGTAAATGTTGTTTTACCATGACCTATTAACACAATAGAATAGATTACATTCAGAATGAAAAGTTATTGAGATTAGCGTGGCTATAAAATGTTTATTGAGACGTTTGTAAAGTGTTGTTTAAACCCTTTTGCTTGTAGTGTGTCATCTATATTTAAGTTTGAAATTGTTTGATAAGAGAACTAGGAAGCCAAATAATGAAAATAAATAAATAACAAGTTGAATATAATCATTGGTTGGGAAAGGTCTTATTGACCTACTGAAATCATTTTTTTTTAATTTGTACATGATGACCTAAATAATTAAAGATTAGGTACCAGTTTAAGGACTATTTTGTTCCTTTTATACAACGACTTCATAATAATTTGTCCAAAACAAAACCAACAAATCAAATTATTTAGGGACCATTTTAAGGGCCAGGGTTATACTTTATTGGATGATTTCAAAGTAATTTGTCCTGAACAAAACAAACAATTAAGGATTAAGGACCAGCTTATTCTTTTAAGGGATGATTGATCTTTGAAAGATCACCCAAACAAATTTAAAATTAATCTTACGTAATTTCTAATGGGACCAGAAGTATTTTTATTTTTTGGCACAGAAAATCATTGATCGGTAAATCTCAACTTAACAAAAATTTAAATTTAATATCATCTTCATTAAGTACCGATCAAAATATCCAATTTTCTAAATTGACCTGTAGGAATCAAATTAAATGAAGTGTCAAGAATTATCTCGCATAATTTACTCTTTACCTATTCAATTTACAAGTTCGAAGTAAAATATGAGAAATTTACATATTCGTTGTCCAAATACGATCCAATTAGTTGGTAACCTTTAATGAAACATATCTTATTCTTCTATATTTTTGCGAACGACCGCAATCTTGTTGGGGATTTATCTGAAGAAAAAAATCTTACATGGAGCCCAATAAGTAACATAAGACCCATCTGAACTCAAAAACTCAAGCTAAATAAGTAAGATAAGACCCATCTGAACTCAAAAGCTCAAGCTAATGGGTTTTGAGCACACCTTACTTATTAACTGATTCACATGTTCTCATGTCTCCGATGTGAGATTCATAATCCTTGCCACATGACTCTCAACATTCTTTCCGTCATGAGCAATCTCCACATCGGGCTTCCAAATTATCTTGACAAGCCCAAATCTGTACTCCACCTGAGTAATTGGGCCGCCCATCCTTACGTTTCTACTCGTAGTGGGCCTTTGACTGCCTGGATTCAGTCAGATCAACCGAGATAATTTGGGCTAAATTACCTACCCACTTGGCCCAACCTAGGCTCTGATACCACTGTTGGGGATTTATCTGGAGAAAAAAATCCGACATGGAGCCCAATAAGTAAGATAAGACCCATCTGAACACAAAAGCTCAAACTAATGGGTTCTGAAACCACCTTACTTATTAACTGATTCACATGTCCTCATGCCTCTGATGTGAGATTCATAATCCTTGCCACATGACTCTCAACATTTAACCAAATACGATGATGTAGTAATAGTCTAGTAAAGGTAGCAGCTCATAAAAAATTTTCAAGTCAGGGGAAAAAAAATGTACATGGAATATTGATGTCATGAAATGTACATCTAATGTAAAAAAACTTATGAAGTGCTTGTCTGGTGGTCCCTTCCCGAATCAAATTGTGTGTGTGAATATGTCATGAAATGTGCATCTAATAAAAATCATGAAGTGCTTGTCTGCTGGTCCCCTCCCTATTCAAATTGGGTTGGGGGGGGGGGGGTAAAAGCATGGCAAAAATGTACTACCTTTAATAATATATACATAAATATATACATATAAAATAAGAGCAATGACAAAAATGTGTATCTATATAAGCATTAATCCGCGATTACACCAAGATCATTAGAAATCAACAATACATTCCAGTAAATAGTTCAGCCAAAATCAAAAAGAAAAAACAGACACACACATACAATATCACTGATATCTTCGATCATCGACACTATGGGTTTGGAAATTGCACAAAACAACCTTCCTCTCATAGAAATCAATGAAGAAACAATTTCTTTGCGATCAACGGCCGATCAGGTCTGCCAAGCCCTAGAAACATATGGATGTTTTCTTGCAAAATACGACAAACTTTCCCCAGATTTGCACCATGAAATGTTCAAAGTTTCCAAAGACCTATTTCAACTACCCAAGGAGACAAAAGTGAAAAATACTGGTAAAATTCTTGGATTTGGATATGGCACTAACTTTCCTTTCATGCCACTCGTGGAGTACATCAGTATTGAGAACGCTGCTACTGTTGACGCAACCAAAGAATTCACAAACCTCATGTTTCCATCTGGAAATGATGATTTCTGGTGCGTTAATATATATAATGTAGCTACTTTCATTGACATTAATCTTTCTTCGTCTTAAAAAATTACTTTCTTCGTTTTAATATAATAACTCATCTTCGTTCCCAAATTAGTCCCACTTGTTTGAGAATGGAACATTGTTTCATTTGGACCGATCATCATTCACTAGTCAATGTGAACTAGCCATTTTGTCAACCTATGAGTAATGTGCAGACTTTTTTTTTTATCCACAAAATACTACCACATCTTAGATAGAATCCAATTTTGTTTTACCTTTATTTTCCATATCAAAAAAACCTGAGTTTTGCCATTTATTTAGGGTCCATTTTGGCATTAATTTTTACTTTATTTACATGAATGAGTTTGATTCAAGCTATATATATATATATATTTATTTATTCGTCTTCCTTTTTTTAAAAAAAGATCTTGTTATAGATTGGCTCATTTTTGTGTGACCAAAAAAAAAAGATTATTTTTAATTATTATAGGATTAAAAAATTAAAGTACTTGTACGTCTGATATTTTATATTAACATGTTAATTACAGTGACACTGCATACACATACTCCAAGTTGCTGTCCGAATTGGATGCAACAGTAACGAGGTTGGTTTTCAGCAGCTATGGCGTCGACGAATCTTGTTACGATCTGATCAATTCGTCATTTTACTGTGTAAGATTTCTGAAATATAGAACACCAGATCCCGAAGAGCTCAACGTTGGTCTTCATCCTCACGTGGACAAGGATTTCCTGGGCGTTGTTGATACTAATCACGTCAGTGGTCTTGAATTACAAATGAGAAATGGTGAATGGATATCTTATTACCCTTCACCTACGTTTTCTTCAATCTTTATAATCATTGCAGGAGAGCCATTCCAGGTGACAAATACACTCTCTCAGTCATGAAATGATAGTTCAGTTTTTTTTTTTTAAAAAATACAAATTGTACTGCAATTAAAAATTCAAATAAAACATTCATTTTTGGAAACTATGCGTACAATATAATAGGTCATACTCTTTTTCGTTCCTCTTTATAAGTCGCATACTGAATATATTGTTTGGTTGGATTAATTTACTATTCATAAATGTTTTTACAGGCATGGAGTAATGGAAGAATATTTGCCCCTCTGCATAAGGTATTGATGAAAGGAACTGAAGAGAAGTTCAGCATTGCACAGTTCTCGTTTATGAGTGACAAGATTAGAGTTCCAAAAGAGCTGATTGATGAGCAGAATCCATTGAAATTCAAGGAGTTCAATCACCTTGAATTTCTCCAGTATATCCAAGAAGAGAAAAGGTACCACGTCGAGCGTTCCATTGTACCTTTTTGTGGCGTTTGAATTTGGGCAACTTCCCAGAAATATGCTGCGTTGCTACTTTTCAAGTTAATAACCTCTCCTCAACTTCTTGTTGTCTATGAATATACACATGCATGTATGTAATACATTGATGTTGTTTATATCTGTTGTGGTTAATAGTAAGTTGTTAAGCTGATTGCAAGTCTTTGTTTTGTAATAATATTTGTTAAGTTGTAATAGTAAGTATTTACACGCAAACTTCGTTTACTTTGTGAATAGTATTATTTTGGTCGCTGTTCAAAGATAATCTTTTTGTTGGGATGATTAACAAACACCAAATCAAGCAAACCAGCTATTTATTCTAAAAGTACAAAATCCAAAATCGAGAAAATCCTTGATCAATTTTCACCGGGGGCATGAAAAAGAATTTTAGGTAGGTTAAAAGGAGGAATATTATAAGTAAAAGTAGTTAGCCAAAACAATACAAAATACCTAATACAATTACAAGCAATCAAGCTCTGCCCAACTTTCAAGAACGTAGGAGTATAAAATATAGCCAAATTGGGAGGTTGACCAACAACAAAACACTACAAACAATAAGAATACAACAATACCAAAAGTCATTTATTTAGACGAAAAACTCCTTTTGATATGAACAAATGAAAATATGAGATCTTTATTAGATCTACAAAAATCACTATCAACGTATAATAGTAGGAGCACGTACTCTTGCAATTTTGAATTTAGCTACACATAAACCAACCGTTAACACTCAATTCACCACCGTCCATAATTCTGAACTTTGACTTTTAAGCTGCATCTAAAATCTCACGATGACCCCACTACATTTGAACCTCAAATTGTAAAGAAACCCAAAACCGGTCCATGGTGTAAATGTAAGTCAGTGTCTACAAATAGCATCAGATTGACCAAGTTCAAGGATCAACCCATGCCGCATTCATGATTGTCATAATAGATGAATTTTCTAGCTATATATCGGTATGTAGTTTATCATCAATTACCTTGAAAGCCCAGAAAATAGGTTTGAAAAATAAAAACAAATAAAATTTGTCCTTCATATAGTTCAGGCAAGGAATTCAACTAAGAGATTCACCTAGATATTTTATATTTTAATTAAGGGTAAAACTACAATCTTGTTCTTAATTTCAAGGGTATAGTCCGGTTAAAATTCTTGGCATGAAATCGTAATTTATTCCCTTTATCAATAAACAGCAACCATTAATTTGCTGATACATCTTATACTATATTACTATCATTCCTTATTTGAATAAAATAGAAAAAGATAAAAGAGGATGAGAACATGACAACAATAAAATGGACTATCTATTCAAACGGGAATTTCAAGCTTGCTTCTAAACACAAGCTATATTTCCTTCGAAGTGTGATGCTAAAGACCTCAGTCATGTCCAGCAGTTCAGCTTCTATGTCACCAGGCATTTTCCAGTCAAAATGGTAGAGCAATTGAGCGAATGCAAGTTCTACAATTGCTAAACCAAGTGGAATTCCTGGGCACATTCTTCTACCTCCCCAGAATGGGATATATTCAAAGTTGGCTCCAATTATATAAATACTATTTTCTAAGAAACTCTCAAGACGAAAACTTTCGGGCTTGATCCAAAATTTAGGATCTCGGTTAACTGTTCAACCATTGACAATAAATTTTGTCCCAATATGAATATCATATCCTTGAATCTAGCATTTCTCCCAACATTTTCTTGGGAGTAGGAAGGCTTTTTTTGTTAGAAAGACCTTCTTCAAAAGATGCTTTCTTTAAAAATAATCTCTGATGCTTTAAAAGATGGTAGCTTAATTAGTTTGAAGCATCAATCAATAGTACTGTAATAATTTGTTTCTTATTACCTAAACTGATGCTTCCGGACAACCACTCTGATACCCTGAAAAACGATTACGAGCAATGACAATTAAATTATGATTTTCTCTTGGAAAAAAATTAATAAATCAATTCGATGCGTTAGCTAGGTTACGTACTCCTGCAGTTTGACGTATATTGTAAAAAAATAAATCTCTAAAGCTAGATTATTTAAAACATTATCATTAAAGCCCATATATGTAAGTTTAGATGTGGTTCCACCTTAAAATCAATTGGCAATGATGGGAGTAACACATGGAGTATATATGTTGTTGGGTTACCATTTCCAATGTGGAACAAGTATCTTTCACTTGTTTTCAAGTTCAAAGTAGATTTTAACACCGCTCTCTAAAGTCGGAAGGGTTTGATCAAGGCCCCTTTGAACAATTAAAGTTCCGATACAAATATATATCAAAGCCCGAAAGGGTAAATTAAAATCCTCGGATATATTGCCGGGTTAGTTTCTGTATTCAATTATTAATTTCTTTTTTCAAAAGTTTACTAACACCCTAATCGATCATTGGATTAATCTGCTGGAACAAAGACCATGCATCAATCTTAGTGAGTGATGTACAAAGTGGTGTAGGATTATGGTGTAGGAGATCTTTTACCCTATATTTTTTAAGTTGAAATGAAAATTTAATGCGGTGATGATGACGATCTGTGATCTTTATTGATTTTGGAAGAACCTTCCTTTCCCCCCTATAAAGATTATTTATAAAATTGTAGACGTTCACTTCAGTTGCTACTGATTTTATAAACGTTCTTTTTGTTTTTTTATTATTAACTAATTATGGCAGCTCAAAAGAATAAAATAAAATAAAGAAGTGTACACCATACTCTTAAATCACACTCTCTTCATCTCAAGAAAATAATTCATTTTATCGTATTATGCTTTTACAGGAAAAAGTCATAATTGCTCTATAACTAACTCTTCCAAGATTATTTGCTCGATCAATGGAAGGCAGTCAGTCAATGATAATCGTTTAGAGACAAGCGAGACACCCAAATACTTAAAAGGTAGATTCCTTCTTCAATCCCAAACATATCAAGCAAGCCTCCTTTTGTATGGAATGGAACACCTGCAAAATATGCATGACTCTTCATCAAGTTAGCACTAAGTCCAGATCTGGAGAAAAAATCATCCGAACATCTCTTCAGACATTGAACAGCTGAGAAATTTCCCTTGCAAAATAAAAGTAAGTCACCAGCATACAGAAGGTGAGTAAGTCCAATGCGTTTGCACTTAGGGTGGAAAAAAAAAGAGCCTTCCGCAACCATTGTTTTTAAAGATCTAGACAGGTACTCCATACATAGAGTAAAGAGGTAAGGTGAAATGGGATCTCCCTGCCTTAGCCCACATGCACCCTTAAAGTTTCCAGACAATTCTCCATTTATAAGTAGTGAGTATCTAGGTGTTTGCACACATTCCATAATCCATCCAATAAATCTGAAGGGAAAACCAAGCTGTATAAGTAAACTTCTCAAGAATTCCCAATTTATAGAGTCATATGCCTTATGAAGATCAATCTTAAGAGTGCACCTAGGGCTGATCCTACTTCTCCCATAACATTGAAATATCTCCTGAGCCAAGAGGATGTTGTGAATGATAATCCTACCTCCAATAAAAGCACTCTGCTGCTCCCCCGCCAATTTGTGAATAATCTGTTTGAGTCTAGCAGTGAGGATATTAGATATGCATTTATACAATAAATTACAACATGATATAGGCCAGAAATCAGAAGCAAATTTTGGACACTTAACATTTGGAATACGAGCAACGACAGTAGAGTTAAGTTCCTTCAAGAGATGATCATGAGAGAAAAAGTGTTTAACTACTTTGATCACATCATCACCGACCACCGACCAAGTACTTTTTAAAAAAGCAGCTGAAAAACCACCAGGACCAGGGGCTTTAGAGTTACCAATTTTAAACAGTGCTTCCATAATTTCAGATGAGGAAACAGGCTGACAGAGAACAACACAGTCTTTAGCTGATACTTTTGGCCCAACATTAACTACCTCAGCCTGCAAAGGTGCCACAACAGAGGACTGTCCTAATTGGTTTTGGTAGAAGGTCAGGAGCACATTTTTTATCTATTCAGGCTCTGTGAGTACCACCCCTTGCTTATTCGTGATAGATCCAATAGAATAAGAAGATCTCCTAATTTTGACTTGGGCATGGAAAAAAGCAGAGTTTGTATCTCCAAATGTAATCCAATTAATTTTTGCCCTCTGAGCAAAAAAGAGTCTTTCTGCATGAAGAAGTTTATGATAATTACCAAGCTGTTGTTTCTCCAAGGCCATCAGGGAAGAATCATGAGGTTGCAACTGTAGAGAATGTTGCGTTCTTCCAAGATCTTCTTTTGCTTGTCTTACTCTCTTAGAGATACTGCCAAAGTGAACTCTATGAAAAGTTTTTAGCTGCTTTTTAACATCCTTCAATTTCATGACTAGATTAAACATCGGAGAGCCATCATACTGCTTTTTCCATATTTCAACAACCATTGGTAGGAACTTCTCATGAGTAGTCCAGGCATTTAGGAACCTGAAAGGAGGGTTATGTCTGGACTGATTGAAACATGAGATCACAGCAAGACAGTGGTCTGAGACACCAGGGGGATAGAAAATAGCATGAGATTCTCCAAATACATCTACCCAGTCAGAGTTTACCACTACTCTATCCAGCTTAATATAGACTCTTGGACCATTAGTATGCCTGTTACACCAAGTGAACTCCTCCCCGGAGTATTGGAGGTCAAAAATATGGCAGTCCATCGTAAGATCTTGGAGTTCTCTAGTATCCTTAGTAGATACTCTCATGGAATTATTTCTATCAGTAGAATGAAGAAGACAGTTGAAGTCACCAAGAATCATCAATGGACCAGATATGGTAGAGTGTAGCTGCCTAATATATTTGCAGAGCAGTTGCGGCAAACTAGAAACATTTTCGGCATAAATGAAAGTAGCAAAAAACGATATTCTCCTAGATCTTATATCAACTAGACAATGTAGAGCTTGAGCAGACTTTCCTAAGATTTGAACACATAAAGTAGAAGTATTCCAACAGAGAATTATTCTACCCACAGAGCAAAAGTCAAAATTGTGTTCAGATGACCATCCAGGAGCAATAGAATGTACAACAGAAGCTACATTAGCATGGTTAAATTTATTTTCGACTATGGACAGCAAGTCAATATTCTTGTCTCTAATAAAACTTCTAATAGCATATTGTTTATTTGAGGAACCAAGTCCTCTAATATTCCATTGGCCAAATATTCATAACTAACATGGAGTAGATTTGACTCCACCTTTTTTGCTCTTTGTTAGCACTTGCGAAGCTGGTTTTTGTCTCGTTTTGGACTGATTTGGAGGTGTAGGGGTTGCCAGCTCCACATGCTCTGCCAAAGTTTCAAGCTCCAAATTTACAAAGATGTTTGAAATAGGAATTGAGTTCGTATCATGATCCTCTTTTTGTTTACTTTTTCCCGAAGATGTAGCTTTTTGCCATCCATCATCTTTCATAGGGGAAAATTCCTGGCTTCTTTTGCCTTCATCACACACTTTGGATGGACCACCATCAACTCCATTACCCGCTTTTTTATCCATACCATTTTCAATTGGTTTTGGGACCCAAACTTGAATTTGCTTTTTAAGACATTTTTTCAGTAGAATAGCCAAAAACCCGACAAGTGCTACACTTAGGAGGAAGCCATTCATATTCAACCTTTTGCTCAAAGTACTCACCGCTTGGTGATTTCAGGTTAAGAACCGAAGGTAGTTCTTGTGAGGCTTGAACTTGAACACACACTCTCGCATAGGAGCATATTGGTGTTCCAATCACAGATGCCATTTTACTCAGCACTTTTTCAGACCAAAGAGGCAACCGAAGATTAGGAAATTTAATCTACAGAGGCAGAGATTGGATATTATTGCTATCAATTGAGAGATTGGGTTCCCAAACTTGGAGAATTAATGGTGCTAATAATACGACCATGGACCAGCATCAAGAACCTCCAACAAATCAGACTTTTTTCCAAATTTAAAGATGAAGACCCCATTATAAAGTTGGTGAACTGACCTTAATCCAAAAGCCAACCACTTGTTGAAAGCAAAATTCTGTATTTTAGAGAATAGAGGCTTCAAATCAACAGCAAACCCAACAAGAGAATTATCCCATTCATGAATCCCCTAATTCCATTCATCATCATCAAGTTGAACGTCTTTGCAAGAGAATTGTTGTTGATGGGGTGTCAAGGTGCACAAATAAATTACCTACTTCAAACTACTGTAATATAGGGAAGTAAGGTCATCTCCTCAGGGAACGATGGATTGTTTCCTTCAAATTAATGCAAAAGAGATTTTTGGATTGTTTTTCTAAACTAAGATAATGAAATATAAATAACAAAAACTAAATAAAAGAAAAGAAATCAAAGTAACAGACTTCTAACTCAACGGACGGATAACTCAATTATTTCATTAATCATAGGCTACTAAATACTCTTGCAATTTAATCATTCAACCAAAGATCTATTAGGATAGCCGTAATAAATGAATTAATTTTCCTAAATTAACTAACCAAGCCTAGCACTCAATCAGTCCTTATCATAATTTGGCTGGGCACAATAGCGTTCCACGCAAAATAATGATAGCATAAAAACCAAGGAAATATAGTTGAACCAAAACCTAAACAATTGAGATAGCTGCAACTATTCAGACTTTGTCTCATTGATTCCACATTTAAGCTAACATGCATATTCAATGTCTCAACAATACACATGCTTTGTCTAATTGCTACTCAGTACTGCCGGTTCTTGTCTATTACGTAACATTCAACTAGCAGATAGCACTAGAAAATAAATAACAAATCAAGTTGTCAATTCGAATGATATCTACTTTCATAACTCAATACAAGAATCAACAAATACTTTTATAGGCAAAAAATAATAAATTAAGAACAAAACCACATAATGAAATAATTGGATAAATCCCTTGAATCCGGAAAGAAAACTTAGCCACTCATAGTTGGAAGTATGGCGGCTTGATTCTCCATGGAAAACAATGAAAATTCGGGAAAAACAAGATGTGGGAGGTGCTAGCCTTTGACCTCTGCACGGCTCCCCTCTAAAATAAAACTTAAAAGTATATTTATATGGAAAATTTAGGTCAACCGCTGCAAAAGAAGAATTAGACCATGATTTGCATGTTTGGTCCCTCAAGTTTGTAGTATTTTCACTTTTGCACCAAAACTTCTTTAATTTTGCATTTAAGTCCCTTGACGTCCAAAGTAGCCCAAATCAGCTCCAATCTCTTATTTCTAGCTCCTAACATGAAATAATAATAAAATTAATGAATTAAATCCATCTGAATCCATAAACTAATAAAATATTAACAATTAAAACACAATTTACGGAATCTATCAGTTGTTGAACAAATTGAAGTTGCAGCCCAGCCTTTCTTTCCCGATTGCGAGCCACAACTTTTGCCCAAGAATTCTCAGTTTTCTTGGTTGGATCTTCAGTGGAAGATCAGATCTGATTTCGGCGGCCATGTTTGCCGTGAACAGCGGTAGAAACGGCAGTAGAAATGAAGGAAAAAAGTGTGTTAGGTGCACGATAGCAGGTTTGGCTTATTGTGCTCCGAGAGCAATTTGGCTTTTTTCCTGTATTAATGGACCACCAGATTCTTATCTTATGCTGGAAGATTGCAGATGATACACTCCGTGGTTCAAAGCATTGAAAGGTATTTGTCCTCTATCTTTATTTTACCCAAGAAGGTCATAAAAGAAGTTGAATCACTTGCTAGGAGGTTTCTATGGACTGGTTTTGTTGACCCTGCTCGTAAAGCCTCTGTGGCATGGTCTGATGTGTGTCAACCTATGTCTTCTAGGGGCTTGGGGATAAAGAAATTTGACATGATGAATAAGTCTTTGATTCTTAAGTATTTTTGGGCCATAGAAAGAAAGGTTGATTCACTTTGGGTGAAGTGGGTTCATGAAGTATACTTAAAGGGTCACTCTGTTTGGGATGTATCTATTACATCTTCTTTCTCGTGGTGCATGAAGAAGATCTTGAAGTTGAAAACAGTAGCATCTGCTTGTGTAACTAGAATAAATGGTACAACTGTTTGGAGTGCTTTTGGGGAACCATATTCATCACAAGCGTGCTACAATGTATTGGCACCTTCAGCTCCTACCCAATGGTGGCGTCGTATACTATGGACCAGGTTAACTCCTCCAAAATATTCTTTCATCTTATGGTTGAGCTGCCTAGATAGACTTGCAGTAAAAACTAAGGTAGCTAAATGGAATACGTCAGCTGATACCTTATGTGTGTTCTACCAACAACATGATGAAAGTGTAAAGCATCTCTTCTTTGAATGTTGGTTCTCATCTCGAGTATGGGTTGGAGTTTGTGATTTCACTGGATGGAGCCTCCCGAACTCATGGGATCACCTTGTTAATCAGCATTTCCACAGGTGGAAGAATGATACTCTAGGAGTAGCTATGAAAGCCTCATGGTGTGCATCTATCTATTTTCTATGGAGGGCAAGAAATAGGTTCATCTTCCAAAAAGAACCAGCAGTCAAGTCAAAGGTAATACAGCAGGTTCTGTTTCACCTCAAGATAAGATATGTGTCAATCCAAAGAGTTCCTAATTCTCAAAAAAATTATAGCTTGGTGTAATAGGTTACATCTTAGTCCAGTAGTTATAAGCAAACGACGCCAGAGTTAATCTCTATCTAGCATGAATCTTGCTGCTTAATAGATGTTTTTGAACATAGAGGAAAGTTTTGTATGATAAACTCTTTATACTGGTAATGAAATTAACCTTCTTACCAAAAAATAAACTCTTCCAAGATAAAGGCCATTAAGACAAGTAACATAAGCATATTATGTGATAAGAGAACAAAAATTAGATAATTTAATCATAAATGCTGATGTGACAAGCTTTCCTGGACTCAAATCTCGCTCAAAACACCAACAATTACCAAAGTAAAAGTAAATTGTAAAATCTAATGACAAACCTTAAGGAATCTCGGATTAATTTGGTTACAGATAGACCAAAAATCCACGATCCCTGCCTGTCAACCCACAATCTCATTCCAGTTGAAGTACCATATTCACGCTTACGATATGAGACAGATAGTACACCTTAACACTCTACCTCAAGTCCAGGGGGTGCTTGAACTATTTGCCCAATAGACTTGGATTAGAACAAGAATAGAATAGCCCAAACGCCCTAGTGGGAGAAAATTAGTTATACCGTTGGATCAGTCCACAAGAAGCCCACAAGTCAACGCTCAAGTGGGTTAATATAAAATCACCACAGGCCACCTCCGGCCTAGAACTCCACCACATGCCCAGACTGCTCTGATACCATGTCAAAATATATAAGTTCTTTGCGCTTCCATCTCAAACCAATTGGCAATGAGTAGGTGACTGTTGGGGGTCAACTTTGACCGACTTTGACCGGCCCAACTGTTCACCCTACTTGGGCCTATCTTATAAGCCCAAGTAGCCCGTTTATTCCTTTCTAAAGGCCCAGTCGGGTTACAAAGAATCAGCTCTTATCTATTTACGCTTTTGCCCCTCCTGACACGGGGGCCCACAGGTATTATCCCGTTGGGACCTATAAATACTCCTTGCTCATTTATTGCAAATTCAATTCCACACTATCGTTTCTCTCTCTAAGTGTGTTAATTATCTGTTTCTCTCCCTATAACTGACTTAATCTTCGAAGTACTAACCTCCGTCTTGCAGGTTCCTGTCCAAGTCGGACCATTGACTCTCCGCCCCCGGGATTTACCCTCGATAAGTGGCACCGACTGTGGGGACTTTTATTCCCAACTGGTCGAGGGCAGATCCAATTGCTCTACGAGAGTTATGGTCTCTACCCAGACAAGGCCTGAAGAAGGGACAAGTTGTAGGCTTGGATTGAGATGGAAGGTGGTAAGGGGGAGTTCCCGCGTATCCGCCCGGTCCCCGGAGAACCCCGAGACAAGGAAGATGCCGAAGGGGCTTCCCGAACTAATGACCGTCAGGGCTGCTCCAGGAGGTCTGGCGACCCCCATGAGGGCCATGACCATGAATCAGCCGAACACCGGAGGAGCCGGTCCCGCTGGACCAGTAAAGAAGCGGAAAGGAGCAAAGAGCCTTCCAAGCGTCCTCGCCCGTCCCGTTCACCTGAACGAGGACCTCATGACGACCGCTTCTGGAGATCCTTTTCCGGGAGATTCCCTGGATTCGAAGAGCAGTTCCGCAAGTTTGAAGACATGTATTTTGGAGGCAAAGGCGAAGGTCCGGACGACAGCCTCGTGTTCATGGGGGAACGAAGGGTATCTCGGGATCGAGTTCGATCAAGAGAACGTGACCCTAAAACCCCACCGAGACCAGAGCCGCGGGTGGACCGCGAGGGTGTGTCAGATCCCCGGCTCGAGGCTATACTCAACAGTAGAGAGGCTCTGGGAAGTCCTTTCGCCGAACATATCCGGTGCTATCCATGGCCGGTAAACTTGAAGCTTCCAACGGACATCCCAAAATACGGGGGTGATACCTGTCTGGTTAGCTTCTTGGCTGATTACACCACGGCCATGGACTTGCGAGACTCACTCCGGGAGTTCTCTGCTAAAGCGATGCCCACCTTCCTAACGGGGGCCGCTAAGATATGGTTCGACAGCCTTCCCCCAGGAAGTGTTACTTCCTATGCGGACTTGGGGCG